ATCCCGTGGGGGCCACAGGCCTCAGGACCCAAGACTCAGCCTTCAGTGCCCTGGGAAGCCCAGCCAGGGCCCGAATCCTTCCCTTCCCACAGGCTGCCGCCTTGCAGGCAAAGGTGCACGGCAGAGTCAGCTAGCCCAAGTGCATATCTCTGCACCAAACGCAAAGGAAAACAATGAAACTTTCCCTGTTTAATGATAGAAATTACATTAAAAGTGGTGGAAATGCCCTAATTAAAAATGTACCACTTAAACGATATGCCAAGGACTCAGCTGCAGCATAGCATATTTAGCTAGTTAGTGAACTCTCCACGATTTCTTTTTTAAAATTACACGTTAAAAATTTAAAAGAAATCTTACTTTTCTCTGGTGCAACACATTACAAAGAATGGACAGTCCTTTTATCTAAATATAAAATTCCATTTTCAGCAATTATAGCCTGTTCTTGGTGATGATATAATTACAGCTGTGCTCGTAATAGGTGTCAAGGCGAAACACACTCACACAATGGTTGAATAAAACTGCAGAACAATGCAAGCACTTCTAAATTCACAACCTTTAAAATGAAATTGACTGTGCAGAATTCAAATAAAAACTAGATAAATATTTTTTTTAAAAGATTACAAGCTTGGTTTGGTTTCTTAATAGCATTTTCTACAAACCTATCAACATCTAATTGATTAGATAGGAATTACTGCTTATAGATCAGCTGAAGTCTTGCACATCACTCTGTTTTCCCAGCACAGCCATAGGTAAACACTTTCTGGAGGGCAAGGGAACCGGGTGAGGCATTCGAGGAGTCAGTAGTGAAAGATCATTTTGCCTGGAACTTTCGGGATTGCTTTGCCATTCAAAGAAATGCTACTTTGTGAGAGTAGAGTCAGGTCTCATCTTGAGAAAAACATAAAGGACAATGATTCCGGTAACAGTGTCATTAAGGAAGGCTAACACTTTATTATCTTAGTGAGGCTTTGCGGGGACTCAGACTGCCCAGCCCTTGGAGTTTATAACTGTACCAAGTCCCATTAGGAGCTCCCCATGCCATCCCAATTTCTCTTATTGTCCTATTCTTTTTGTTGCAGATGGCTGCCAGCAACAGGAAGGAGGGGGAGAGAACACCAACTCCATCAGTTCGAATGGAGAAGACTCGGATGAAGCTCAAATGCGACTTCAGCTGAAGCGGAAGCTGCAAAGAAATAGAACATCTTTTACCCAAGAGCAGATTGAGGCTCTGGAGAAAGGTGATGGGAATTTTTCAAAGTAGAGATGCATTAAATTGAAGCAAATGCCACACCAATGGCACACAGGGCTAAATTTAGCTCAGGTCCTTTGCATAGAAGACTGAGATTCCCCCTTCACACTTCTGTTTCCCCCTCCCCTCTGGCCATCTTTTCCCAGTGTGTATGTGGGTGTGCATTTTCTTTCTTCTTTTCACAAACCAGTAAGTTGAAAGATTAAAATTCTGACATACAAAGAAAATGATGTTCTGGCTGTCTCCGGCCACAAATGGTGACACTCACTGAATGTCATTCCAAAGAAAACTTAGTTCTGGTGAGAAAGTTCTTGTAACTTCAATAGAGTTATTTGAAAGAATATTGGTTGGAGGAGACGGGAGCAGGATGTCAAAAGACAGCTTGATCCAGGGTTCAGATACTTTGTGTAGTTCTGGAATAACATATAAACCCAACTTCCTCTTCCAGAGTTTGAGAGGACTCATTATCCAGATGTGTTTGCCCGGGAAAGACTAGCAGCCAAAATAGATCTACCCGAAGCAAGAATACAGGTACATAAGGACTATGTTGGTTTTATTCGTTGTGATCCTTATACCTTGTCTTGTCTGCATACCAGTCATTTATATAACTTGTAACAGGGTCAGTTTGCAACGACTCTCTTGTCCTAGGGTAGAGGACAGTGGTTATGGAGGGGTTTTTGTTTGTGGCAAAGCTGGTGAGGAGCACAGGGCTAACCTATTCCACGCATTTCCAGGTATGGTTTTCTAATCGAAGGGCCAAATGGAGAAGAGAAGAAAAACTGAGGAACCAGAGAAGACAGGCGAGCAACACCCCTAGTCATATTCCTATCAGCAGCAGTTTCAGCACCAGTGTCTATCAGCCAATTCCACAGCCCACCACGCCTGGTAACTTGAAATGCTGACTGCCAAGAAAAGTTCTTAAATCTGTTTGCCCTGGGCTCTTCCTCGTCCTGTAATGACCTCCCATCTCTCTCTTTCTCTCTCTCTCTCCACAGTTTCCTCCTTCACATCAGGCTCCATGTTAGGGCGAACAGACACCGCCCTCACCAACACATACTCTGCTCTGCCACCTATGCCCAGCTTCACCATGGCAAACAACCTGCCTATGCAAGTAAGAGAGGCTGGCCACCTGCTGCACAGGGCAAGGAATGGGTTAGGGCTTTCACACCCCGTCTGCTGCGTTTACCCCCTTGGGAGTGCTTCTTGTGACAGTGATTGGCTTGACCAGTCAACTCTGAGGCAGTCTATCCAATCTCTTTGAGTTGATTGATTGATTGATTGATTGATTGATTGATTCATGCCCTTGAAAAACAAACACTTGATCTGTTCAGTCAAGTTAATGTGCCTTTTATCATCATGTTAGCTGGGTAATTCTGGGTGGTAGTGAGGTCTGTTTTGGGTACCAATGAAGCTTGTGCCACAAAGCAGAAATAATGATGACATAATATAAGGCATTAAGATGTTAGTATGTAAAAGCTTGGTGTTTATGTTAGTGTGTTTGTATTAATAAATACAGAATCAGCAGAAGCATTTTGAGGATTATTTTTGGCCCATGTGAGAAACTAGTGAGGAAGAAAAGAAGGGGGGGGGGGCTGAGAAATGGGATTCTTCTACACAGTGAAATATATTTACCAAAATAGGGAAACTAGTTCTTTCCATATTTAAAAGTAAAAATGTAATTGAAAGTGTTTGCTTGAAATTCAATGTGTATCAGCTGTATATGACATGACAGGTTGGTAGTACCTATGGCATTTTCAGCATAGTACCCTGGCCTGTGCTCTTAGGGGTAGGTCTTGGACTCAGCTGGCATTTTCTAATGCTAGTTGTACAGGGCTCTTAGAACGTACAAGACCTTTGTTGCTGGGTGGATTCTTGCTGTGGGAATTCTGATGGGTCTTCTACATCAGCGTTCCTACATCTCCTGCTTTTTTTTCCTTTATTTTCTTTGTTTTCTTTTTTTGTGGTTTTTTTGAGACAGGGTTTCTCTGTTGCTTTGGAGGCTGTCCTGGATCTAGCTCTTGTAGACCATGCTGGTCTCGAACTCACAAGTGATCCGCCTGCCTCTGCCTCCTCCTCCTGAGTGCTGGGATTAAAGGTGTGTGCCACCACCGCCTGGCAGTCTCCTGCTTGTGTAACCATTAGATAGATATGCTTGATTATATGAGCTTGGTGGCAGGAGCCCCTGCTGGAAACAGTTCTGGGGTTACACAGATTGTTTATTCTCCATTGAACATCTTTTGCCAGGTTTCAAAGTCAAATAGCAGCAAAATAAAAGTCTCCCAGTCTTCTGACCCATACTGGAATAGCTAGCTTGGCAACTTCTTCACACACTTCTTTTCTATTGTATCTTGTTTTTATTGGCCATAGTACAATTGATATAAATGAAGGGACCAACAGTCCATTAGTATTGCTATAACTATTTTGGAATTTTCCAGAAGTCAGGTTGCCTAGGGGAAGTGATTGTAGGAATTAGAAACAAATGCAAACTGAAATTCTGGCAGGGCTCTTTAGGCCTGCTTGCCTTTATAAACTTGATATATATGAGCAGTCACCATCTGACTTTATCGAGGCCACTGAGTATGTTGGGCAGTGTTATATATTATAACAACATCTAGATTTCTGTGAGTGTGACATAATGTGCACATGGAAAAACAAAATGAAACAACTAGATAGATGCTGGATTATATTAAACTTGCTTCTACATATAAGACATACGTTGATTTATTTCAAATTACCCAGCTAACATGACTTTTAAAAATTATACAGATTATACAGTTACAGATGTAAATGGCTTCATTGTTACAGAGAAAATAAAAATGATCTGTGATTTTACAGTTCAGAGAAAATTCTTCTGTGCATTTTGCAATGGGGAGGGGTGGCCTCTAAGTCAATGGCTTCATCCTGTTGATCAAAATCCTCCACGTCTTGCAAAGAATGGGCATCTTTCTCTGGACCTTCTTTAGCAGGTGTCATTCTTTGTGAATGAGGATGGCAATGTCAAGCATTTGCAGAGCAGAACAGAGCAGCTATTGCTGACACCATGCTTCTGTTGATTCACCTCATGAGTTTTCCGACCCCAAATAACCCTTAAGGGCTCCCATAGCTCGAGGGGGTGGGGGGGGCGTTATCCTAGCTCTGCATATTTCTTATTTAGTTATGAGAGAAGTTTATCTCCTCGACATTTCCATTTTGATTGCTTAGAAGATAGCACCATAATTTTATGGATGAGACTCAATCGGGACTTTTGGGTCAGTTAAGAAGTCAATTAATCCTCATGTTGTGTTTAAGTTATACTCATTCACTGACATTTCTGACCTCTTTAACCTGACTTCATTATGGCTGCATCTTAAAAAAAAATCTCTAATCCTCCAAGTCCGGCACTGGAAGGTTCTCAAGGTCCCTACATCAAGTTCTCCAAAGAGTTCTATTGCTCTCTATCCTGCAGTTGAACTATGGAATTTGGTGATCTTAGCATTCTCAAATCTCTGGCAGAGGTAAAAGACAGTGCAGACTACCAAAACTGGACGTTGGTTTGAATTTACTGTGTTTCAGAAATTTGTCACATAGGTGGCTTTGCTCTGGTCACCAAGCTTAGTTAGACTCATTATATGGAATTCTAGTTCATTCTAAAGAGGCATTAGTAATAACCAGAGGGCCTGGGGAAAAGGAACCCCAGGATGTGGTTGTGTAATGTGTTTCCAGTAATCACAGGTTTTTCTTTCTCCCGGCAGCCCCCAGTCCCCAGCCAGACCTCTTCATACTCCTGCATGCTACCCACCAGTCCTTCGGTAAATGGGCGGAGTTATGACACCTACACCCCTCCGCACATGCAAACACACATGAACAGTCAGCCCATGGGCACCTCGGGGACCACTTCAACAGGTGAGCTCTCTGTAGCTTCGAAGAGGGGTCTACTGGGCCTCTTTGGCCAAATGATCACCTGTACTTCTACAGCTGACTTGAGAAGAAACTTCTGGCCTTGCATTAAGGGTGTGTTGAACATTTGACTATTCTTGTTCTGGAGAAAGCTGACTGAAAAGGGAAATTCAGTTAAGTTAGTGAGTTGACACTATATAGACAAAAGAGAGATCATTGATGGTGGTGAGTTTGATCACAGAAATGGTGTGTGAAGACAAGGCCTGAGATCAAATTTCCAGAAGACATCGTAGCCTGAGCTGGACAGTGGACAGGGTTCACTGAGATTGATGTGGGTGCTTTTTGGAAGACTTATACATCTTCTAGCTTCTTGATGCCAGCTGAGGAGGTACCACATAAGTCTCCCAGAAATGGTTGTACTGATTAACTTCCAAATGTCAGGGAGGCTGATTTGGGTTTTAGGAGGTATTTGTGAACATAGTTTCTAATTTCAAAAGGACTCCTTTTCTTTCTAATGATTGAAAGTTTTCATTTTAATACAAAGTATAAAAGAAGTATTAGGAAATGTCAGGGTTTTTAGAAAGTCTGTGTGCTCACACTGTGTGCCAACTTTAGAGTCTACCCTTGTGGCTGTTTTTTTTTTTTTTTATTATTCATTTACAGGACTCATTTCCCCTGGAGTGTCAGTTCCTGTCCAAGTTCCCGGAAGTGAACCTGACATGTCTCAGTACTGGCCCCGATTACAGTAAAGAGAGAAAGCATGATCGAGAGAGAAAATTGTGTTCACTCTGTCAGTGACTATGTGGACACAGCAGTTGGGTGTTCAGGAAAGAAAGAGAAATGGCTGTTAGAAGCACTTCACTTTGCAACTGTGTCCTGTATTGGAGCCCGGGAATGGACTAGAAACAAGGACCTTTGCATACAGAAGGCACGGTATCAGTTGGAACAAATCTTCATTTTGGTATCCAAACTTTTATTAATTTTGGTGTATTATTTGTAAATGGGCATTTGTATGTTATAAGGAAGAAAAGAACAACACAGGCTGGTGGATCTTGCATCTGTGTTGGCTCATGTGGTTGTTTAAAGGAAACCATGATTGACAAGATTTGCCATGGAGTTAAGAGTTTTATCAAGATATATCGAATACTTCTACCCATCTGTTCATAGTTTATGGACTGATGTTCCAAGTTTGTATCATTCCTTTGCATATAATTAAACCTGGAACAACACACACTAGATATATGTAAGAAATATCTGTTGGTTTTCCAAAGGTTGTTAACAGATGAAGTTTATGTGCAAAAAAGGGTAAGATATAAATTCAAGGAGAAGTTGATAGCTAAAAGGTAGAGCGTGTCTTCGATATAATCCAATTTGTTTTATGTCAAAATGTAAGTATTTGTCTTCCCTAGAAATCCTCAGAATGATTTCTATAATAAAGTTAATTTCATTTATATTTGACAAGAATACTCTATAGATGTTTTATACACATTTTCATGCAATCATTTGTTTCTTTCTTGGCCAGCAAAAGTTAATTGTTCTTAGATATAGCTGTATTACTGTTCACAGTCCGATCATTTTGTGCATCTAGAATTCATTCCTAATCAATTAAAAGTGCTTGCAAGAGTTTTAAACCTAAGTGTTTTGCAGTTGTTCACAAATACATATCAAAATTAACCATTGTTGATTGTAAAAACCATGCCAAAGCCTTTGTATTTTCTTTATTACACTATTTTCTTTTTAACCTTATAGTGTGGTGTTACAAATTTTGTTTCCACATTAGGTTAGCATCCTAAATCAATGGTTAGGTTCATACACACTCCATTTTACAACCTGATGGCCCTCAAGGAGGTAATTTTTACAGACATCAGAAGTTGGCAATGTATCAGGAAAAAAAAACACAGCTGTGTGAATCTGCATCCTACAACATGTATAGAAAATGGCAACACTTGCAGTTTATCCATTTATTTAATTTAAAAGCTCAAAGTTTAGACATAATTTAAAAAATGCAACAAGCGATTCACTAGGAGTCGTGTTTTGAATTGAAGCTGGCATTTTCAAAATGGGCAGCCAATCTCCACTATAATTTCAAGGAAGTATATTCAAAGGTTGAGTTCTTAAACAAGACTCTGAAAGCTGTCGCCTCTTTCAGATGACCTCTCTCCCTGTCCTGTCTCCCTCCCCTTTGCACAAGAGGCATCATTTCCCATTGAACCCCTACAGCTGTTCCCATTTGAGTCTTGCTTTCTGTGCCGTTGTGGATGGTTGGAGGGTGGAGGGGGAATGTTGCATGTCAAGGAATAATGAGCACAGACACATCAACAGACAACAACAAAGCAGACTGTGACTGGCCAGTGGGAGTTAAAGGCCTTCAGTCATTGGCAGCTTAAGCCAAACATTCCCAAATCTATGAAGCAGGGCCCATTGTTGGTCAGTTGTTATTTGCAAAGAAGCACAGATCTGATCATGTTTAAAGTGGCGGCACGCAGGGCAGGAGTGCCTGAGCCCAAGCAGTGGATGGAGAAAAGAAATAAGCCTTTGTTGGTTAGAAAAAGGCCTGTCTGACTGTTATTTTCTGTCTGCTCTGTACAACACTTAAGTCAAAGTAGACATATTTTCTTCAGTGAACTTCAGTGAAAAATTTGTGTGTGTGTGTGTGTGTGTGTGTGTCGGGGGGGGAGGGGTATGTGACCTTCTGGATTAAAAATATTTAAGCATGGAGAGACATCTGAGGGAAAAGACAATTCCATGCATTTCAACTCTGATTTTTTTCTTTTTAAATCCCCAAAGGCAAATGATAAAAAATAAATGATTTGATGATGTCAACATAACCCTGCAGTTGCACTTCTCCCATTTAGTAGTTAAGCTATTACCTACAGATAGATCACTTAGATCTGCTGAGTTTTATTCTAGCAGAGTTGTGTGTGTGCTTGAAGTCACTGTTCATGTCACCCTGCACTGCCTGCTGGCACATATACACTGTTGGTACCATTGCCCTTGCAGACATTTCCACCCCCTGACATTCTGCAGCTTCCACTCCCTGAGGGATGTGTGTTGAGGGAACTGTCAGAGAAGGGCTGTGTCGCAGTCACTGCTGGCCCATGGCTCTGCTGAGGAGAGCGCACAGACTACAGAGAACTGCACATGGAATTTTGGGAGTAAGATCTGGGAGTGGCGTGAGAACTGAGGGTCTGGGTGTGTGCAGTTGGGCACGTATACAAGTCCTTGGAGGGTCAGGACTGCCAGGGCGCAGTGGCACAACCTGGTATATGCTGAAGGAGGGATGCTCAGCCGTGGAAGCCTCTGGACCAGCAGGATGAGAACAGCAGCCTTGCCTTCTGCTCGAATGCACCCTAGGGAGATGAGCTGTCTGTATCCCAGGCTGTGTGGTCTCAGTGTCCGGGAGTTGGTTTTTGACTCCCAGTAATCATTTTCATTTGTTTATTTACTGACAGGTATATAGATTTCGCAATGGAAAATCTGCAGGGGTGTTTTAGTGTCACTTTCCAGGATGACGACCAAGTTTTGTGACATCCTGGTGCAAACAGCTTACATTTTATCTTAAGGTTTGACTGACTTAGGGACGTCAGGTGAATAGAATCAGAGTTGACTTGCTCCAGATCAGTGGTTCTCAACCTTCCTAATGCTGGGACCCTTGATCCTTTAGTACAGTTTCTCATGTTGTGGTGACCTGTTCTCATAATTTTGTTATGGCTGTTGCTATTTCATAACTGTAATTTTACTACTATTATGAATTGTAGTATAAATATCTAATATGCAGGAATAACCCTTATGAAAGGGTTATTCAACTCCCAAAGTGGTCTTGACACACATGTTGAGAACTGCTGCTATAGGTGAAAATAACTTTGCTTTGTACTTCGATGAAATTCCAAGGAAATCCCGTCCCCTAAAGCTATAACTTCCAGCAACTCTTCTATGGTGGTAAACAACTGGCTTCTCAACACTGCTTACATCACATCTTCTTCCTGCTTAAATGAAACATCATAAATACGCTTCCTAAAAATTACATCTATGGTGTTAACATTTAGCTTTGTGTTTCAGTGTTTGCTATCACAGGATGGCACTGATCATCTTTATTCATGTCTTTATGCTCTGGGCCTTAATGTTTCAAGAAAAAAGGTTTTTTTTTTTTTTTTTTTTTTTTTTTTTTTTTTTTTTTTTTTTTTTTTTTTTTTTTTTTTTGAGGGGGCCTATGTTTCTATATATTGAGTTGATTGAGGGCAAATACACATTATTCTGTTTTTCAATATTTTTTTGACCTTGGTCATAGATGACTAAATGCTCATTTTTCAAGTTCAAAGTGGGAATTTTTAGGGTTTATATTGTGCAATTCCGATATTGATAGTGACTATCTTTGGAACATAATAACATGATGTCTTAGAGACAACATTAATAATGGGCTTAACCAATATGGGTTATCCCACACACCCTTGCTGAAGGTGTATGTGTATGTTGCATTCATTAACATTAAAAGACTGGGAATGCTTTTGAAGCATTTTCATTTGTTCTTGTGTTAGTACTAGAAGGTTCTGGGTGTAGTGATAAAGAATGAGCAAAAAACAAGATAAGAAAAGTGATCTTGCTCAGTAGCTATTAAAAAATTCAGAGGGTCTCAGAGCCCTATACCTGAGCAACCTATAGTAGTCAAAATATATACCTCATGTTAAAGAAAGGCAGATCTAACACAAGGAATGAATACCACAAAGGGCTTTGGGGTTCACGCACTGGAAACACTGAAAACACACAGAGATATTACAGATACTCTATTTGACAGTGCTCTTAAGTATTTATATTCCAGACAAGTTAAAATCTATGAATATAGTATACACTTCATAATACATCAAAAGGGCATATATTATATATAATATATATATATATATATTATATATACAGTAGCATGTGAAATATGTATTATATGTTAGCATTTTGAAAACTAATATTTCCATGTAGAAAGTTGTTGGGGTAATAGAGAACAAATAATTTCCAGACGAAGGAAAACATATTTTTAGAATGGGTTTTTCTCAGAGGAAAAGAAAACAAAATAGCACCATACATCTGTTTCCAATAGCAGCTTCTTCTTTTTTATTATTATTATTATTATTATTATTATTATTATTATTATTAAAATATGCAGAGGGAATCTGAAAAACAAAGTGGTGGATGTAGTATTTTTGGAAAGTCCAGGTACTCTATTTATTTAAGAGTTTGAAAAGTTTAATTTCTATTTAAACTAAGGGTTCACATATGCTTTCTCAATTTCTAGGGAATTTTTCTATTTGTAAAGCACATATCTACTAGGAGTAGCCAAGAAGCAAACTGATAAGTATTTTATAAGCAATTTATATATGTGATGGTTTCACACTTCCTTTCAGAGTCAAATGCCATATAATTGTGCTGTTGTGTATTTGTGTAAAATTAATCACAACAGGGTAAGAGAAAGATTAGTTATTAAGACAATTAAACATTCACTTCAGTTTATTCACAATCTGTTTGAGGACAGCAAGGCTTCTCTGTGTAATTTGATTTATTGTGTATGGAGGAAATGAATTTTTGAAGTTGTTTTAAATCTTAAAAGCACCTCTCCTCAATATAAAAGCCCTTTAATTTTAACTGACAGATCAATTCTGAAACTTTATTTTGAAAAGAAAATGGGGAAGAATTTGTGTCTTTAGAATTAAAAGGGATGAAAAAAAATAAACCAGACATTCTAAAAAAAAAAAAGAATCAACCTGATTTTTTTAGTGCTAATGAAGTCGTGGTGACAAAATAGTTGTCTTTTTTATTTTATCACAAAAAATAAACTGGTAGTGACAGGGTATGATGGAGAGATTTGACATCCTGGCAAATCACTGTCATTGATTCAATTATTCTAATTCTGAATAAGAGCTGTATACAGTGTGTGTTTATGCTACAGTGGGCTTTTTTTTTTTTTCAGTGACTGACATTCATCATATTGGTTAGACAGTTTTAAAAACCCAGTCTTTGTTTTCCACAATGTTGTCAAGAGCAAATAGAATATAATTTGTGGTATATTAAAAGGAAACTGCTTAAAACGTTAGTTAAAGGTGCTTCAAAATATTCTAATTTATTTGAAAATGTATTTTGGAAATTCAATTTCTGCCAATAGATGTTAAACATCTTTTTGAAAAAACTTGAGTCTTTAAATACATGCAAGTTGCTTTCTAACTTTCACTTTGTACCTATCATTTGTCAAGCCCTTCAAGAATATGGACCTATGACACCAAACCCTAGTGTTTTACATGAAAACTTGATCCATATACTGTGTTCCCAAGACATGTTATATGGTTAGAGATTCATTAACATGCTCAGCCAATGCTCATAGTTAACAAAGGGTTTAGGTGACACAATGGAAATCCGAGTTTGTTTCAGTTTTTCACTTTGTCTTAGACCCACATTCTGTAACCTGCTCACGGGGCTTCCGTACCCATCTCTGGGACCTCAACGTTAGTGTAGCTGCCAGCTTGAATTTCAGTCTTGAATTTTGTCTGTTGACATAATTTCCCAGTACTGATGTCAATTACTTAGAACTTTAGGACAGCAGTCCACCCAGCTGCTTTTGTGTAGTCAAGCTCTGTATGCACTAACTATTGTGTGGGGGCAATTAAGACGAAATCCCCCAAATATGTTTTTTGTCTTCACCACTTTAAACAACAGGACATACAGATGCAAATTCTTTTATATACTAGCAAACAAAACATTTTTTAAAAAAAGCCTTAGTAGTTTTTCAAAAACACAGACTAATGTATCACACACAACTTGAATTCACATTCTACAATCCACAGGGTGCAACATGCATGTTACCATCACAGAATGTCATCATCATCCCATTGCTACAGTTTACATAAACCAATGAGCACTCTAAGGCACATCATGGTTTGGGGTATTGTTTTTGGTGTTTATTTAAAAATTAATTAGTATTTTAAAATACACAACAGCAGCTAAATGTCAAATGATGGTATTTCTGCTGTATTATTTTTGTACAAAAGTTGGTGGAAAAAAACAATGAAACAAACTAAACAGAAGAATGATGGCTCCATTTTGTAATCCTGTGTTTTTCAAAGATTGGAGGGTCAAATCATTAAGAAAAATATTTACATAAGCTATTTGCAATCATAATTAGGGTGTCAGATAATTCCGCATGCAGTTACTAAGGAGGATTCCCTAGAAGTCCAGGTGCTTCCTGCCTCCGGCCATCATGCCACAGCCTGGGCCCAGCAGCTTGGCGGATTCTGCCAGATCCTGTTTGCTTGAGCGACTCACTGTGTCTGACAAGTCTGGAGGCAAATGCAGTCGCTGTGGTGCATTGTGAGGGAAGGAAAGAAGACAAAATTAATTTTGCTTTCCCCACACACTTCAGAATACAATATTATGCTCTGTTGATCAGCATTTAGTCTTGCATATGAAATCTCTGCTAAAACAATTCCTTAGACGGAGCCCATTATCTTCACATCCTATTCTTACTAGGTTTTTACAAATTACAGCTACTGTTAGAAACTAGACCAAGATTCTCAGTGGAATGACTTCAGAGTCCCAAACTAAATCTATTAAGATTTTTCTTTCATGGGTGGGGATGAAAACAGGCAAATGCACAAATTAAAAAAAATCATAAGTTATAGCATTTTTTCTGGTTTTGTTTTTGCCAAGGTCTGAAATTGGTTTTTAATCAACTTTAGCTTTCCACGAATGATGGATTCCCACAGATGCTTGCTTCTCTTTGTGTGTAAGTTGACCTGATGATTCTATTTCATTACTATACTTTTTCTAGGAACTTATATTTTTCACAGAAGTATTGACATAGAGTGAACAGTGCTAATGGACTGCAGTGCTTTTCATATGCACAGGTGAGCTAGCCAAGGCATTGACTACAGCCCTGCCTCAATGCCTAAGGTTAGAGTAGACTTTCAAAGTGTAGTTTGGCTTTGAGTAGCCCAACTCCCCTAGTCAGCTCCAAGCTTACTTAAGCAGACCCACCCCACAGCCCAGACTGCAGGTTTAAAAGAATGTTTTTGTTTTAAAAGGAATATATGCCAGGCATGGTGGCACACACCTTTTTCCAAGCACTCAGGAGGCAGAGACAGGCAGATATTTGAGTTCCAGACCCACCCCTGCAAAAAAGAGAAAGGAACATAACACTTTTTAAATTATCAGTTTTCTTTCTGTGTCTGTCTCTCTGATTACAGGCCAAAGCCCTATTTTACACACATACATGAGCACACACACACACACACACACACACACACACACACACACACACACACACACCAAAATTTAGTTGGGAGGTAGAGGTAGGTGGATCTCTATTGTGAATTTGAGGGCAACCTGATCTGCAAAATGAGTTTCAAGCCAGCCAGGGACACATAGTGAGACATCATCAAGAAAACAAAACAAAACAACAACAACAAAAAAACAAAAACAAAAACAAAATTAAAATTAAAGGAAGAGAGAGTTGACTTTCCAGATTAGTGAATTCTACATCAACAAGCATGTCTGGAAACTATTAAAAAAGAAATGATCTGTACTGAACACATAGAGACTTTTATATCATTATTACTCTCTATTTAACATAGCAAAACATCTAGTCACATGGCATTTTCATTGTTTTAGGCATTACCATAATCTACAGATCATTTAAAGTCTATAGGAGGATATGTATAGTTACAGGCAAACAATATGCCATTGTATAGGAGGGGCTTTGGCATCCATAGATGTTGGAATCTGCAGGGGTTTTTAGAACTACTTCTCCAGGGTGACAAAGGATGACTCTCTCTGTTGTGTGAGGGACAAGATAGGAGGGCAAGGCCATAGGCAAGACAGGATAGGATAGTGTTCTCTCATAGGCAACCTGGCTGGGACATTCACTGGAAAACTCTCTTCAGTGGGGGGAGGGGGGCCTAGGACTATTTTTGTCAAAATGTTTGCCCACTAGCATATGTTCCAGCTAGATGCTTTCCTGATGAAAGGCTTCCTTGTTGTCATGTAAACACAAGCTGTGTGTAAATAATCAAAATATTTAAAGACATTTAAGACGATTTATGAAAAGTTTCTTCCTTGATTTCTTTGTCTCAAATACAAATGCATTTCGGATGAAAAAATACTGCTGTACAGATGTATGGTCAACAAAGACATCAAGTGGGTGAAGGAGGTCAGAAAAATGTGGGACATTCACACAGAACTGTTCATTTCATCCTCAGCACCCAGCCTGTAGCTTATTAAGTAACTGTTTGCTTCCTGAATCTCAGATGAGACCCATTTGTTCCCAAATAATTCCTTCAGTTCCCTGCACTCTAGTTTGTTCCCTAGAAGATTTCAGCAGAAATGAGAGCAGGATAGGCTCAGTGGTCTAGAAGGAAGCATGGCTCCCTGGTCTGAGGCAACAAGCATCACTGCAAATGCCCACATAGTCACTGACCATAGAAGAAACAGGAGGGAGAAAGATCTTTAGTTATATTTGTATTTCACTTCAAGGGTTGTTGCTGATGAGCCCAGAGGAAAACGAGCAGCATATATGCATGGCTTGGTTATCTGAAACTTACAGAAAGTTACTGTGTGTGTGTGTGTGAGTGTGTGATACTGGAAACTACCAAATGGCTGCCTTATGGAGCCACCTTGACAAACAGAATCTGGAAGGCATTCTGAAGCAAGCATAACACCTTCCACACACCTGCTTTCCTGTAGCCAGCTGACACGAATAAGGGTAGTGCACAAATTACCTCACAGTCAACTCTCCAGGCAGAGGAGAAAGCTTTACAGAGATGGGATTTCAGTGGGCTCTTAAGTGACGGCCTTGGTTTTGACAAGGAGAATGGGATTTGTCCAATAGCCAGAGCAGTGTAATATAAGGCAGGGTGTATTTGAAGGCTCAACCTGCATGGATAATCTGAACAGGAACACAAGTGCAGTTTATCCAGGACTAGCAAAAACATATTTTAGGAGCTCAACTATTAGCTTAGTGACTGCCTAAGCACTTCTCTCTCCCCTCTTTATCTAGGCAATGAGTGAGCCAATTGGTTGAATGCCATCATTAGGAAAAAAAATAAAGTGACACATGACATGCTTGGGAATCTTTTGGGTTGAATGGCTTTGTAGAAAAGTCACATATTATTCATGTGCTACTTTTGATCATGAAAATTTGGGGGTGATATGAGTAATCACTCCTAGCCAAATGCTTTACTGTAAAGCTGGTTATATATTCTTGTCCTCTGAAAAAGCCCAAAGAGGGCTGGGAAATCAGTGCCTCTGTGTGGGTTTGCTTGCTTTTGTTGATTTCTTGAATGTGGTCACCATGCAATATAAATTCTTGAGCAGAGTGTTTTTGTTCTTTCTTTCCAAGCCTCCCCTGTGTGCCACATCAGTGTGATGTGAAGCAGCAAAGAAAGGAGCTCAGGTTCCAGCCTTGCCAGGTGTGTCAGGGAGTTCTCCTCTGAGGCTTCTAAAGCCTGCATACATTTGACATGTAACTGCTGAGGTGCCACTGCATCCCAGATCTGTCTTCTGAAAAAGCATGGTGACCTTCTTTATGATAAACTTCAAGGCTATAGCACAGATAAACTTATAGATGTTGAGATTTCACTGAATAACAGTTTAAATAAAAACGACTCAAGTAAAAGTGAATGGGACTAATGTATGAAATGATTCTCAATATTATAAACCCAATCAGAGGATTCATCTGTCTCTTTTTATACCCGAGCAAAGGCCAAAGCAAAAATGGGTCTTTTACCCTGAACTGAATATTTTTTCCATCCGTTTGTTTCCTCAGACTTTGGAGAGGTGAGGACTGTGCAGATGAGGCAGGGGGATGGGTATCTGGTTGGTTGGCAACCTAGTTTTTGCCTTAGTACCATGACTGCATGGGTAGAGGTATGGAAAAAAATAGGAACTTCCATGATTCCTACAGGAAATTGGGAAATTTGCAGGGATTGATGTGATCAATGGATTCCCTTCTGCCACTACTGTATGGAAGGAAACAGTGTACTAAAACACTCTGGCAGGTTCAGAGGCTTCTGCCAAAGGCATATGCATTCCACAGAAAGCTCTGGCTAGAACCAAGCAGCAGAATGATAGCTCTGTTGCTCCAGGACTTCCCAAGGAGGGCAGACAGGATTTTGAAGTTCTTCCCCAAGGTCTGTCTCTCCATTTTGCTGGGCTTAGCCACTACCTGTCCCTTGTGGGTCAGCAACAAACTGATCCTATAGACACACAGAATCGAATTTCCTGTCTTAATGGTTCCCTTATTAATTCCTTTTCTCCCCAACTGCCAGACTTGTGTTCAGCACCAACAGTTCCCAAACAGAAGGGCTAACATAATCAATGGAGATTACACCTGGATTTGAGGCAAACTGAAAGTAAATATTCATTAAAGTAAGTTGAACCAATTTATATTTTTCATACTTTGCCAAAAGGAAACCGCCACGCACTGTTTGCTTTCTGAAAACAAATGATGGAGTGCATTTTAACCCTTAGCAGATGGGTAGGGATTCATCTACATCTTTTACAACTGCCTCATACTCCCTGGAAAGCCAGTTTGTGTTGCTCAGAACCATGAAACATTAATCTTTCAGAACAGTTCCCAATAATTTTCATTTTCTTTTAAACATAACAAATAGAGTGAAAACTAGTTCATACCTATGTTGGTCCCCTAGCTGAAGATCTGTCACTCTGCCCCAGTGTCCAGGGGCCCTGCCATAGACACAGCAGAAGTCACTGGTGCAAGAGCACTGGGTGTGGAGGTGGAGTGACAGTGTGATTCCTGCATTTGTTCTTCACTTTCAGGGTGACCTCTCATAAGCCAATTACTTGTCAAAGCTTCATTGTGCTCATTCATATGAAGGAACAACTGTCCCCTCACAAGACTGCCATAGAGATCAAATGACATGTGCAGATACTTGTGAACTACCAAGTACTATACTAACATATTTAAACCTCCTTTGCTTAAAAAATAGATTTCAGGGGGCTCAGAAAAAATATACATAAGGCAACATAAAAACAGATGAGTTTACCAGGGCAAGGAAGTGAATCTGGAAGTAGAACTCACTATATATAACTATGAATATCAGCAATTTAATTACTGGGTTTCAGGATGTAAGCAGAAACTCAGAATTTAGTATATATTACCTCCCCCCATTGTGGCTCTGTAAATAAACATAAAGGAAGTTGCACCCACAATTCCCCACCTGGCTTCTGGGTCAGTGTCAAAGTGCATGGCTGTATTAAAAGAGTATGGTGGCTTGAATGAGAAATGTCTGCCATAGTCTTGGGGATTTTAACACTTGATTCCAGGTTCGTGATGCTGTTTGGAGAGGTTTATGTGCTGCAGCTTTGCTGGGGGAAGGGTGTCACTGGAAGCAGGCTTTGAAAGTAAATGCCTTAACTACCAGTTTGCCCCTCTGCTTCAAGCTTGTCTCTCCAACTGTCATGCCTGCAGCTTGCTGTCCTGTTTCCCTGCTATCAGGGATGGACTTTAGCACTCTGGAACCAGAAGCCCAACTAAACTCTTGCTTTCTTGGCTATGGTGTTTGATCACAGCAATGGAATAGTAAGCAATATAGAATGTAATTCAGGATCTGCCTCATTTTAAAAATCTGTCTTTTGTACATGTCTTCACTGCTGACAAAATGGCGAATAAAGGAAATGTCAGAATATGAAGCTCCTCCATCTGGGTTTTAATAGTTATTTTTCCTTCTTCACACAAAGGGGAGGAAACAAATGAACAGCAAGCATCCATCCCACTCCCTTGCAGAGTCTCTCAGGTCTGTGGTGCCCTCACATGCAGAGAGCTTGCTGCTTTCTGTAATCATACTCTGTGTGATGCAATGAATTAGACCACAGGCTAAGGAGCCATCACAGAAGCATTCTTATCCTAAGAGTGGCTTGACAAAGGTAGAAATGTCACTGCTAACAACCTTATGTATCTCCAGGTCCAGGGGATCTGATGCTCCTGGCCTCTTCAGGTCCCTATACATGCAGGCTACAAGTACACACAGTAAAATTAAATAAATTTTCTTAAAAGGTACAAGTGTATTTATTCTCTACTTTACTCCCACAAGTAGGCAATTCTGAGCACAAAGGATAGGTCTGCCTTTTAAATAAGGGATCCACTTCTGGCTTA